TTCCTTCTTTTCTCCATGCCTTCAAACCTCCCCTCCCCACTCTCCCCACATCTGATCCCCTCATCGTTTCCCTCCCAACACCCTTTCCTATCCACACTAGCTCACATTCTACTTCCTCTTCCATTGTCTATTTCATTTCTCCAGCTGAGTGAGATTCAAGGAGAGCCTCCTGTGGGCCCTCCTTGTTGTGTATCTTCTTTGAGTCCTTGATTAGTAGTATGCTTATCCTGTACTATATATCTAATATCCACTTATGAGTGCATACCATGTGTGTCTTTCTCAGTCTGTGTTATCTTGCTCAGGATGATCCTTTCTAGTTGTCAAATTTACCTGAAAATTTCTTGATTTCCTTGTTTTTAATAGCTGAGTAATTTACACAATTTCCATTGTGTAAATGTACCACAATTTCTGTACCCATTCCTCAGTTTAGTGACATCTGGGTTGTTTCCAGTTTCTGGCTATTATGAATAAAGCTGCTAGAACATAGTTGAGCAAATGTCCTTATTGTATGGTGGAGCATCTTTTGGGTATATGCCCAGGAGTGGTATAGCTCGGTCTTGAGGTAGATCTATTTCCAATTTTCTGAGAAAGTGGCAGATTGATTTCCAAAGTAGTTGTACAAGTTTGCACTCCCACCAGCATGGAAGAGGGTTCCCCTTTCTCCACATCCTCTCCAGCTTGTGTTGTCACTTGAGTTTTTGACCATAGCCATTCTGACAGGTATAAGATGGAATCTCAGAGTCATTTTGATTTGCATTTCCCTGGTGACTAATGACTTTGACTATGTGTGAAAGTGCTTCTCTGCCATTGATGATTCTCTGTTGAGAATTCTGTTTAGCTCTTGGTTTTTTAAACTGGGTTACTTGGTTTGGTGTTTAATTTCTTGAGTTCCTTATATATTTGAATATTATCCCTTTGTCAGATGTAGGCTGCTGTTTTGTTCTGTTGACAGTGTCCTTTGCTTTACAGAGCCTTTCAGTTTCATGATGTCCCAATTTATTGTTATTCTTAGAGCCTGAGCTGCTGTTGTTCAGGAAGTTGTCTCCTGTGCCAATGAGCTCAAGGCTGCTTCCCACTTTCCCTTCTAATAGATTTAATGTTCTAACAGATTTAGTGTTTCTGGTTTTATGTAAATGTCTTTGATCTACTTGGACTTGAGTCTTTTGCAGGGTGATAAATATAGATCTATTTGCAATTTTCTTCATGGTTAGACCATTTGTTAAAGATGCTTTTTTTTTTCATTGTATGGTTTTGGCTTCTTTGTAAACAAACAAACAAACAAACAAACAAACAAACAAACAAAAACAATGTCCATAGGTATGTCAGTTTATTTCTGGGTCTTTGATTCAATTCCATTGATTAACCAGTCTGTTTCTATGCCAATACCATGCAGTTTCATTACTATTGCTCTGTAGTACAGCTTGAAGTCAGGGATGGAGATACCTCTAGAAGTTCTTTCATTGTATAGGATTGCTTTAACTATTCTGGGTTTTTGTTTTTCCAGATGAAGTTGAGAATTGGTCTTTTATGGTCTGTGAAGAATTGTTGGTATTTTGATGGGAATTTCATTGCATCTATAGATTGCTTTTGGTAAGATGACCATTTTTACTTTGTTAATCCTACCAATCCATGAGCATTGGAGATCTTTCCCTCTTCTAATATCTTCAGTTTTTTTTGTTTGTTTGTTTGTTTGTTTTGTTTTGTTTTCCAGAGATTTGAAGCTCTGGTTATACAGGTCTTTCACTTGCTTGGTTAGAGTTACACCAAGATACTTATTATTTATGGCTATTGTGAAAGGTGTTGTTTTCCTAATTTCTTTCTCAGCCCATTTGTCATTTGTATATCAGAGGGCTACTGATTTTTTTGATTAGCTGGAGAGATGGCTCAGTGGTTAAGAGCACTGTCTGCTTTTCCAGAGGTCCTGAATTCAATTCCTAGCAACCACATGATGGCTCACAATCATCTGTACTGGCATCCGATGCTGTTCTGACATGCAGGTATACATGCAGATTGAACACTCAAATAGAATAATCTTACAAATAAAATAAAAATTTTGTATCCAGCCACTTTGCTAGAGGTGTTTATCAGCTGTAGTTCTCTGGTAGAATTTTGGAGGTTGGGGGCTGGAGAGATGGCTAAGAGGTTAAGAGCACTGGCTGCTCTTCTAGAGGTCCTGAGTTCAATTCTCAGTAACCACATGGTGGCTCACAACCATCTATAATGAGATCTGGTGCCCTCTTCTGGCCTGCAGGCACACATGCAGGCAGGACACTGTATACATAACGAATCTTAAAAAAAATATGAAATTTGGGGGTCACACACATATATTATCATACATCTGTGAATAGGGATTCTTTGACTACATCCTTTCCAACTTGTATCCCCTTGATCTCCTTTCATTGTCTTATTGCTTTAGCTGGAACTTCAAGTACTATATTGAAGAGATATGGAGAGGGCAGCATTGTCTTATGCCTGATTTTAGTGGAATTGCTTTGTGTTTCGCTCCATTTAATTTGATGTTGGCTATCAGTTTGATGTATATTGCCACTATTATGTTTACACCATTAGGTATGGTCCTTGTATCCCTGATTTTTCCAAAACTGTTATTATGAAGGGGTATTGGATTTTGTCAAAGGCTTCTTCTGAATCTAACAAGATGATCATGTGATTTTTTTTTTCAGTGTTTATATGGTGGATTACATTGATGATTTCTGTATGTTGAACAATCCCTGCATCCCTGGGATAATGCCTACTTGATTATGGTGAATGATATATTTGATGTGTCCTTGGATTTGGTTTGTATTTTATTGAGTATTTATTTTTACATCACTGTTCATAAGGGAGATCGGTGTGAAATATTCTTTTTTTTTAAGTCTTTGTGTGATTCTGGTATCAGGGTGACTGTGGCTTCATAGAATGAGTTTGGTAATGTTCCTTTTGTTTCTATTTTGTGTTTGGGGAGTTATTAGCTTTTTTGAAACTCTGCTAGAATTCTGTGCTAAAACCATCTGGCCCTGGGCTTTTTGTTGTTGTTGGGAGATTTTGGAAGACTGCTATTTCCTTAGGGAGTATAGGACTGCTTAAGCGGTTTACCTCATCTTAACTTTGGTAAGTAAAATCTATCAAGAAAACTGTCCATTTCCCTTAGCTTTTTCCAATTTTGTGGACTTCTGAAGTAAGACCTAATGATTCTTTGGATTTCCTTAGGATCTGCTGTTGTATCTATCTTTTCATTTCTGATTTTAATTTGGATATTCTCTGCCTTTTAGTTAGTTTGGCTAGGGGTTTGTCTATCTTGTTGATTTTTCTCAAAGAACCAGCTCTTGGTTTCATTGATTCTTTGTATTGATCTCAGCCCCAAATTTGATTATTTCCTGCTGTCTACTCCTCTTGGGTGTTCTTTTTGTTCCAGAACTTTTAGGTGTGCCTTTAAATTGCTAGTTTGAGAACTCTCCAGTTTCTTTACGAAGGCACTTAGTACTTTAACTTTCCTCTTCGTACTGCTTTGTGTCCCACAAGTTTTGGTATGTTGTGCCTTCATTTTCACTGAATTCTAGAAAGTCTATAACTTATTTTTTCCCTGACCCAGTGGTCATTGAGTAGAGAGCTCTTCAGTGTCTATGAGGTTGTAGGCTTTCTGTTGTTTCTGAGTTCCAGCTTTAATCCATGGTGGTCTGATAGGATATAAGGGGTTCAGTTTTCTTGTATCTGTTTAGGCTTCCTTTGTATATGGTCAGTTTTGGAGAAGGTTCCATGAGGTGCTGAGAAGAATGTATATGCTCCTGAGGTCTGGCTGGTCTCCTCAGGGAAGATGGACTGGAGCTGGGACCATTTCCCTGGATCCCTGGAGTTAGGTGGCCAGAGGCTGGAAGTGTGTGACCCTGGAATCGGCAGCTTTTCTTAGTCAACAGAGGCTGGAACTAAGTGTCCTGAAACCTGGTGCTTTCCCCAGAATGGCGGGAACAGCCAGGTGACCAGAGGCTAAAACCCCTTGTTCCCAGCACCTGTGGCCTCTCCTGTATTCACCCGGGAAACACAAGATGCTAGTGTTTTGGAATCCTCAGAATGGCCTCTTGCTCCATTTGCAGTTACCATGGTCCTGACACTCAAATTGTGCATGTTCAGTGCCACCATCTTGGATCCTATTTTCTGCTTTTTAACCGTGTTTTTGGACTATAAAGACGACTTAAGCACTTTACTTATAACAGTGCACTTCAGTGTTACATGTTCTGCAGCCATTCATTTCCAAGTTTTCTCCTAATGGCCTGAAAGTTATGCCTCTACTTTCCAACACAGTCAGTTATTGGTTCCTAATGTAGGTAGTGATGTGAAAAGGCTAAGAATGATTTCATTTATCACAATGGCTTCATGGCAAGATCACCATTTTAAAATATCCTGTAGGTGCATCAGTAATGAAATGCAGAAAGTCTATTAGTACATCTTTCATGTTTTATCCCTGTTCTGCACATATTTATGCTGTGTCTTTAACTCCTGAGACAGGTGTTTTCATCACATCTCACAAACATCTTACTCCAGACTGTAGCTACGGTATTGTCAAACCTCAGTGTCCTGCTCCCTAGTGTCTGATTTCAAGTGCACAGTAGTGAATGAGTAACTACTGCTCTCTGCTGATGCTGCAGTTTTATTTGCTTTCAGAACAATCAGAAATGTGTGTTTTGTGTTTGTTCATTGGAAATCATATGTTGCCCTATCAACATTCTATATACATTCTGATAATGTATATAAGTGTACCAGAGGCAAAAGACATAATAAAGTGGTTTTAAAATCTCCACCTAAAAATCCAGAAGCAATGTGGGAAATCACTGGAGAAGAGTGTTATGATAAAAATATATGTGGGGATTCCTCAAGTAACATTAGTGTGTGTGACATCAACTTTCACCATCTTCAACTGATACCTGTAGGCTATTTTAGTACCTTTTACATAGGGCTTTCCTTGTTTCCAATGTATGTTTTCATTTTTAAAACAAGAATAAGCTAAGTTATTTCTGAAATGGTTTATTATTTTAATTAGTATACAGTTTATGAAGTATAGAATTTCTTTAAAAATTAGTGATTCTGACAGGTTGCACTGTTAGGGCACTGCTATGGAGTAAAACACATCTGGCTCTTTTTACATCTGTCCAAACTGCTCATCCATTATTGTTCTTCTGTGTTATTTTTGTCCAAGTTGTGACAGCTAAAATGAAAGAAAAAATTATACATATAATTTTTCACTTTTGGATCACAAAAACTTAGGTTATGCTTTTTAAATGTAACACTATCATGGCAGGTAAATGTAAAAGTTAAGCAAGCCCTGGGCAAAAGTAATTGGTATTAAACTCAGTATGAAACTATAAAGAGTGTAAATAACTTAAGTTTGCCTAAACTCTTATATTCCTGTAAGATTATTAAAGGCATAAAAAGCCACTTTCAGTTTGGGAAGGCTAAAGAAGCAACTCCCTAAAGGCAGCAGTGTTTAGCCTTTAGCAAGACCTCAGAAAGCAACTCCCCAGAGGCAGTGGAGAACAACTTAAGGCAAGAAGGTTCTAGAGGTGACTCACGCCTAGGAGGGAAACATTAGATGACTCCCTGGTTTTTGTAGCTCTTGGCCCAAAGGCAGCCCATAGCTGGTGTTACACAAGACAGACAGACCTGTGACAGTAATCCTGCAATTGATTATCTTGCCGAAGAATTAAAGCAAAGTTTAGGGCAGCAAGTGAGGGAGAAACCTGAGAAAGAAGTATGTGGCAGATTCTGTGTACACTTTTTCTGAATCTACCATAAAATTTCTACCACCAACTTCTCCTGGATGGGAGAGGGTGAGATTTGAGCTACTACTGAAGAAACAACTTATGGGGGGGAAATCTCACTGAGCCCTGAAATCATAAGCACACAAGTAACATTACACAGACTAAGCCATTTGTATTCGGAAAGAATGAGAATGAATATGTATGTATGAGGCAATAATTAAAGAGGCAAGAGACCATGGGAGGGGTTAAAGAGAGGAAAGGGAAAAAGAAAGGAGAAAATGATGTAATATTTTAATTAAAAATTAAATTAACTTGGAAAGGGGCAGGGAGGAGATGAGGGAGGGTGGGATTGGGAGGGAAAGAGGAAGGGGGCACTGGCTGGGATACAAAGTAAATAACCTGTGATTAATATAAAGAATAACAATTATTATAAAAAATTAAATTAAAAACCATTTAAAGTTTGAGTCCAACTAAATAACTGCTTAGTGAATTCCTAAGTCAGTACTCTTCAGAGAAGTGGCATTCATTCATTAAACCACCAAAACACAGGTGCTGAAGAGCTGGCTCAGAAGTTAAGAGCACTGGCTGCTCTTCCAGGGGTCTTGAGTTCAATTCCCAGCAACCACACGGTGGCTCATAAGAGATCTAGTGCAGATGTACTTGCAGACAGGACATTGAATACATAATAAATAAATCTTTAAAAACAAAAACAAACAAAAACCCACTAGGCGGAGGGTTAGTGAGGAAGACACTCAGGCTGACCTCTGGCCTCAAAGGCACATATACCCCAAAGTAACAGCAGCTTGCAGGGCCCCGGATGTGAAGGCTCAGCAGAGGAGGCTGCACTTGCATCAGCCGTCACACAAGCCGTGTGCGCCACACTTCTCTGACGGGCAGCGGCGCGGTCTGTGCACAGCAGCATCACTAGGAGGAGAGATTCTCTAGCACTGCTATGATTCTACAACCAGACTTGGAAACAGAGTTTCAGGAGAAGGGGGAAAGAAACTGGGCACATAAATATTTGAAGCCATCGCAGTTGAAAATTCCCTAAACCTGGTGCATTTGGAAACTTCGGTTTTCTACAAGCAAAGTAATTACTCAAGGCTGGGACTATAGCCCTGTGGTTATATGAGCTTCTCCTACCACCATCAACCGCCCCTCCCCTACACCCGCCCCAAACCCAACACCTGCCTAAACAAAACAAATCCAAGACATGATACATATACATTTATCATAATCTAAAAAAAACAAAAACAAAAACAAAAAACAAAAAACAAAAAAAAAAAAAAAAAAAAAAACACCCTTGAGAGCACCCAGAGAGTACTTAAATGCCTGCTGGCTTCCTCTCAGAAAGACTGGAGGCTACAGGCAGCAAGGTACCCTTATGGCTCTGACAGGGCTATCCAGGGGTACAGAACAAAGAGAGCCTAAGAAAAAAGTAAAACAGAAAGCAAGGGAACTATGGTAAATGCTGAAACATGTTTTTGCTCATCAGACAAAGTTTGGAAGTACAGATGAATGTATGGAAAAAAATCAAGTATCTGTAAAAAGATATTTCCCCCTGATTGCTGTGAGCATCTGAAACAAAATTGTGAATTTCCCACTGTCTTGTGAGGCCACTGGTGCAGAGGCAAAATATACAATCACAGCACATGGACAGAATTAGTCAGATCTGCACAGTTTCTGTATTTAATGTAAACAACAGTATTAACTCTAGTGTATAAATATATACATATTGTGATTGCTAGAGCAACTGCTGAAGTTTACAGATAATTCAAATGAAGGCAGAACAAAAGAACCCAAGCAGAAGACAAGTAGCAAAACCGTAGACACAAAGCTAATTACGTCCGTAATTATGTTGGGTTAACAAAGACTTCAATTAAAAGGCAAGGATTCCCAAGACTGATTAATTTTTTTAAAAAAATCTAACTATATATTGCTTAAAAATCCAATAAATTCTGATGTCCGTCTCGTTTGCCTTTCTGAATGAAGATTGATCATCTTACCCAGGGGGCCTCCTTCTTGATTAGCTTCCTTAAGTGTATAGATTTTAGTATGATTATCCTATATTATATGTCTAATATCCACTTGTAAGTGAGTATATACCATGTGTGTCTTTCTGCTTCTGGGATACACACTCAGGATGATGTTTTCTAGTTCCCACCATTTGCCTGCAAATTTCATGATTTCTTTGTTTTTAATTGCTGAATAATATTCCATTGTGTAAATGTACCACAATTTCTGTATCCATTCCTCAAATGAGGGAACAGAACAGGAGCTTATCACTGAGGGCCTCTGAAAGACTCTGCCCAGCAGGGTATCAAAACATATGCTGAGATTCATAGACAAACTTTGGGCAGAGTGCAGGGAATCTTATGAAAGAAGGGGGAGATAGAAAGACCTGGAGGGAACTGGAGCTCCACAAGGGAGCAACTGAACCAAAAAAATCTGGGCACAGGGGTCTTTTCTGAGACTGATACTCCAACCAAGGATCATGCATCGAGATAACCTAGAAGCCCTGCACAGATGTAGCCCATGGAAGCTCAGTGTCAGAGGGTTCCCCAATAATAGGAACAGAGACTGTCTCTGACATGAACTCTATGGCTGGCTAGCTCTTTGATCACCTCCACCTGAGGGGGAAGCAGCCTTACCAGTCCACAGAGGAAGACAATGCAGCCACTCCTGATGAGACCTGATAGGCTAGGGTCAGAGGAGGACCTCCCCTATCATTGAGCTGGGAGAGGGGCGTAGGAGAAGAAGAGGGAGGGAGGGTGGGATTTGGAGGGGATGAGGGATGAGGCTACAGCTGGGATACAAAGTAAATAAGCTCTAATAAAAATAAAGTAAAATTTAAAAAATCCAATAAATTAAAAATAAATAAGTGGAAGAAGTTGTAACACTCAGGCAGAAAGCAGAAGAGATCAGCTAAAGTAGACTTAAGACAAAGAACACTTCTAGGATGGTGCATGGGAGTTGTACAGAGCTAGACGTCTGGAAGACTGTATTATGATTATGAATCCTAAGTGTGTGTATACCTAATATCTCTATCATACAGTGTGCTAGGGATGTGCTCAGTGTGTGCAGTGCTTGCCTAACACGCACAAGGATTTGATCTCAGTACCACCAAAACTGAACAAGCACCTCTATTCCCAGCTCTTGAGAGGTGGAAGGTCATCCTTGGCTATATACCTAGTTAAAGGCTAGCCTGAGCTAAAAAAGATCCTGTCTTAAAAGCAGAAACAAAGCAAAGCAAAACCCAATGTAGCAACTCATAGAACTAAAAGAAGAAAAAAAGTTTAGTAAGTATAATCAGAATTTCTTTTTTAAAAGACAGAATCTTACTTCACAGCTCAAGCTCATTTGTAAGTTGTGTCCATCTGCTCTGAAGGGCTGGTGTTATAAGGATGAGCTATCATATTAGGCTCCTAGGCAGCAATCTAAATACCTCTCATCACATGATAGAGGACACCTACACCCACTGAAGGGAAAAGCTGAACCATACAGAATCTGAGTAGTGTTACACTGACTAAAGCTGATAACCTACACTTCCGGGGTAAGATCACTCTTTTTTAAAGTAAACATGGAAAACTTAGCATCACAGACCATATGTTGGACCATAAAATAAATTCTAATACATTTAAAACAGGTAAATATGTTCTATGACTATAATTAGTTATAGAAACATCAGAAAATTAAAAAAAAAACAGACCTACAATATTTGGGCTACAGAATAAATCACAATGTAAATTACAAATATTTCAAACTTCATGAAAGTACAGCAAATTTTTTGAACAAAGCTAACACAGGTCCAGGCATTTAAACTTAATAGTTTAAATCTTGAGTTTTAGATTAGAATCAAACTTATATTTCCAGTTTAAGAAGGCTAGGAAAAGAACAAAGTAAAGGGGACTCAACAAACACTATAGAGTAAAAACCAAATGAGAGAAGAAAAATAATTGAGAAAAGTAACATTGAAACATCAGTTCATTGAAAAGATAACTAAACTGAGCCCCCTTGGCTAGTCTAAACTGCAAAGTCTCTTCATTTGTTCTGTATGTTTGAAAATTTTCCACTAAGGTAAAAAATGTGAAAACAACAAGGGTTGGGATGTTGTCAGACATGATCGAGGTACATGCACACATGTATGAAATTCTCTGAGAATTTCTAATAAAAAAATACACCTTGGTTTGTTACTTGTGACTCATCTTTGAGATGCCACACCCACATTCTCAGGGGTGCCTTATTCTCTTCTGAACACCTTTCCTTTGCCTAACCCCCTGCTTCAGCCTGCTATAAAATGTCTTTAAGAAAATCTTCACCTTCTGCCACATAAACTCATTAGTCTTTAAATTCTTCTCAGCATCGCAACCATGAATCATGTCTTGGCCTGAGTTGGTTCCTAAAATCGTAGGGCAATTTCAGGGGCTGGAGGGTGAAAGTGGTAAGCTATACCTCCTTTACCTCTACCCCCAAATGTTGGCATTTAGACATTCCTGAGCGGCTACTGGGTGTATAAACAGAGAAGGTAGGATCAATTACTGAGAACGTTAGTAGGAATGGTGCGTCAAGGACTGTATGGAGACAGCACACTCAGCTATGACTGCCATTAACTTTCAGGTTCACATAATTACAGCAACTAAGCATAGCTTACTGATCAACAAAGGAATTCTGAGCCCCAAAAAGGACATGCCTGGCAATGCCAGAAATGTGGACAGCATATAGGAAATGCTGAATTCATTTGGGCTCACTTAGATACTTCAATTTTAAATAATTACTTTTTCAAAAGAATTTTAGATTGGATTTAGTTGGGATTGTTAACCTTATTAAAATGTTACCTGCCAGAATTGTCTTTATATTCATGGTGAAACTTATAGCTAACTGAGGTTATGTTTTAGTTGATTTAAATTCAACTGAATAAGTGATAGCCTTCAAAGGGGAGAGACTCAACAGCAACTTGGGTGATGCTAAGAGAAACAAACTATAAAGGCATACTTTACCTGTTTTATGAACTGTGTAGCATTAAAAAGCTCACTGCAGCCATATAAAATATGCTTGCTTTGCTTTGCCTGTGAATAGCAGACAGAGAATGCAGATGTAAGTGTGTCATAAGAAAGAGTATAAACGGTCCCCAGAAAAGGTATGAGCCTGCTGGGCATTCTAGGAAGAGGGATTATTCTTAAAAGTCTTTTGCCGGTTGGTGGTGTTAGATTTAAAAATGTGTGTTATGTGTACATCCTAAACTGCACAAATAAACAGGAATAAGGTGGTGAAGTGAGCACAAGAATGCTTTTTCTTCCTTCTCCCCAGCATGGCTAAGCTTTCTACATGATGCAGCACGTGTCTTCAAATCTTTTACAACATCTATATAATAGAAAAACAATAAATAGCAAAATACTCATCATTTGTGTTGTCTAATGAATCAGGGGTAATTTAAAGAAACCCATCTTACCAAGTATTCCAGTGCAAACCTGTTCTTAAGCCTGCACATGTGCACGCGTGCAGAATATAGCCCTTCCTTATGCACAACGGGAAGCTCCCGACACAGGGTCATACAAATATGTTAGTGTGCATGACAGAAGACAAGCAGTCATGTGTGATTCCTGGGAGCTATGGGTTCCCCTGTTACAGTTTCTATTAATGCTTTATGTATATGAGGACATAGGACCAACCATACACCAACAACTGAGCAATTATAAAATGCTATTTTATTATGTAACAACAGCTAATCCTCCAGCGATTACATACATTCTACTTTATTTTGGTTGTCAAATTAGGCTCACTGCTTCATGCATTTTTAAGTTTTCTGTCATTCACGGCTTGGAGTAGGATTCTACTTCTAATTTGCTACCTTAAATGCTTTTTAGAAGTATGTTGCTGATATAAGTTGATAAGATGAAAAGCATGTATAATTCAGGTAAATGAATTCTATAAATCATCTCAAGGCAGACAAATCTTGTAGGAGGAATTTGAGGCCTCTAAATATTTAAGAGTGTATCAAGAGAGCACCTAAATACTTAATATCAAAATGATATTATTTTTTCTAGTTCAGTACAATTTTAGTAGACAAGAAAACAAGCAAATTGGTAATTTTCTCTGTATACAGCATTTTACTATTTTATAGCAGATGCAATTTTGCCATGGGGCCTCAAATGGCCCCGAACCCCTGGGCTCTAGTCATCCTCTTGCCTCAGCCTCCCAAGCAGCTGGGACTCCAAGCATGTGCCACTGTGTCTTGCTCACAAGTAGAACTTTAAAAAAATCCCTCTTGGAAAGTAGTCATGCAGAGGTGGAAGGCGCAGGACAACGCTAACACTTTTATGACATGAAACTGACATGACTAAGTGACAGAATGAGATGGCTCAACAGTACCTTTATGTAGTCAACAAGATTCTGATATTCAATATAGTTGCCTCCTCCTACCACAAAGACAATGGCCTAAAAATGCAAATGGAGGAAAAGGGTAAAAACAGTTAAGAGCATGTTAATTTTCAAGCAACATGGCTTTTAGTGTGGAATCTGTTCTTAAACCGAGGTAAGACTACTAGAGGCTGCACCCTAAGCCCCTTTGCTATTTCAAAGTCTAACTGCATTATTCAATTAAGTAATAGAAAATAAGAGCAAAGAGCTTTCTCTAACAGTTAGTTTTGAACTTTTATTATTTGCTGTACAGAGAGACACTGGAAAACCTGATGTGCAACTTCATCACGCCACTCACAACAAGAAGCGTCTTTACTCAAATGAGCATCAGTGTAGAAATTCCACATGTAAAATTCTCAAGTCAATCCAAAAGACTCCTTTTTCTGCTATTTTGTCACGCTAAGGGGAGCAGCAGCTGTCTCTGACATGAACTTCGTGGCAGGCTCTCTGATCACCTCCCCTTTGGGGGTGCAGCCTTGCCAGTCCACAGAGGAAGACAAAGCAGCCAGTCCTGATGAGACCTGATAGGCTAGGGTCAGAGGGAAGGGGAGGAGGACCTCCCCTATCAGTGGACTAGGAGAGGGTTATGGGAGGAGAAGCGGGAGGGAGGGTGAGATTGGGAGGAGATGAGGGAGGGGGTCACAGCCAGGATACAATTTGAAAAAATTGTAATGAATGATAATAAAAACATTAAAAAAAGAAAGCAAACCAGAGCAATGCAGTTGCTGAAGACTTTAAGGCCTTATCTCAGGTGTGCAGAGTTGACTTTACCTGAGTGATCATTCACTGATCATAAGCTATGCTCTCCTCAGGACTACTGTTACGTTATCTTTCTAGGAGCGGAGAAGTTTTATGTGAAACTTACCTCGTGGAATGGACTTTTGTTCCTAGGAACTGAGCTGCAATAAAGAGAAAGTGCACTGAAAATCTCATCCTTGGCTTCTTTTATGGATAGGATGGGAATGGGGTGCACATTCCTGTGCACCTGTGAGCAGCATTAAGAAGGTACTCCAGGTCCACCTTCTTGGGAAGCAGGGGGCTCTTCAGTTTTGTAGAGGAAGGAGCTAGAAGGTAGACATCTCAATGTCTAAAAGGGAATGGGACAACCCACTAACAACCTTGAAATAAATTGTAGAAGGCTGATCAATAGCCTCTAAGCAAAGGAAAGGAAGTTGGGGCAAGTGAAGCAATAAAGCAAGTTATAAGTTAAGTTTTCTCCACACTCAAACACTAACACAGCTTGCGGTCATCTTTTGCAGAAAATCTGAGTGAACCTTTGTGTCTACCTCAGTCTGGGCAGCGAAAGTGCGAGGAGAGATCTGCATTCTGCTTTAGCTTCTTATTTATCACACATCATATATTTTAAAAATACTTCACTGGCCTCTGAGAAATCTTTGCTAAACACACCTTTCCTTGTTTTTACAGGTCAGATTTATATTTGAGTATTACATAACCCAGGAATGCACAGTGCGGTAAGGAGAACTTCAGTTTCCTCAAATGTGGATTGTTTAGTGGGTGAGTAGACCTCTACCATCTTTTCTCACTTCTATGGCCTGTTTAAAGGTTCTATACTCTACAGAAAGAGATAGATGTCCCCTGATCAAAATGTCTCAATAGTGTTAATTCTAGAGGTTTAAGTTCTTCGGAGATAGAGAGAGGACAGTGAGAACTGAGATTTAAATAGCACAGTATCATGACTTATTAATGACCATGGTTTGGGACACGATAGCATAGGAAAAGGCTGCTGAATCAATGCTCTGAGCCTGTTAGTCTTAGCGATAACATTCCTTCTCATTATCACACATGATAATGAGTGCTTCATTTAGGGTTAAACATCCTCAGCTTCCATGGCCACTGCTTAAGTATGTGTAGTCAAGAATTACTAGTACAGACAAGAGTTACACATCCTCTTTTGAGGCAAATGATCCTGGGTTTTGGTATATGTACAAACATCTCATCACTCGAAAACCCTGTCCCACTCGGGGTCAGTACTCATTGTCCTGTTCTATCATTTGCTGTCAAACTCTCTCCTGGCAGTGACAGCTACTATTAGGATTTCTTATGTAACAGCATTCTGTGAAAGGAAAGAGAGAGAAGGAAGGAAGGAAGGAAGGAAGGAAGGAAGGAAGGAAGGAAGGAAGGAAGGAAGGGAGAATAACACTTGATATTACCAAACAATTTAATAATCTAGCAGCTCGATTATTTGCCCAGGCACCCATGACAATGTGAATGTAAGGAGAAGGGCAACAAAAAGGGTTCAACATCAGGTACAAGCAAGAGTTTTACTGCTAGGGGCATCCAGTTACTTCTTTCTAGATCGGCCTATTCGGCATCTGTATTTCAGATTGTTTTTCATACTACCATGAATTATCTATTGAAATGTTTACATAACCAATGTAAATTACCATAGTGTCCCTTTCATAAAACGCAGAAATTATACAGTGGACGGTTTCACTAATACAAAATGCTTTTATAGACATGGTTGTCAGTGACATGGATTGCCAGACGTAACAAAGTGCCACCACACCTTAAACCACTGCTTCCATCACGGAGCTATTTTCTCTTCATTTAGTCCAATTAAAAACACTTTTCTTCCACTTTATGATAACACCAGTTCATAAATAGTAAGCAGCTACATTTTTTCTGTGTGCATACTAAAGAAAAATAACAAGATAGTAATCATAATTACCAGTGATTATCTGTGATTATCTCTGAAAGAGATTAAAATACATACTGTTTTTGACTGGTCTCCCATGGTTAGAATTCTAGTAAAAAGCAGGCTGTCTTATAATACAACATTATTTCCATTCTCAGAGGGAAAACCCACAACAACCACCACCCAAGATAAAAGCTCCTTACCTGTCATTGCTCCGCAGCATTTTGGGATCAAAATATCTATAATCATCAGTTTCCTATTAAAAACAAAAATAAAACACATTACCAAGACTATCAATTTCTGTTTAGAAGGTCATAGTTCAGCACAGTACTTGACTGTAACAAATCTTCCATTTTCACAGAATGCGTACAACTGACTCTAATCCTTAATGAGATGTTACTATGTGTTAATAAGGTATATTTGCAGTGCTTTCCAGGAAACCATGCCCTACTCCTCAGTTCTGCTGGCAGCTCCTATTATTATCTCAGTTTTAGATGGGCAACCTGAGATAACAGGAGACGATGTGACTTTTCTAAGGCCACGTACTTAGCAACAGGAACAGCAACTGTAGGACATGAGCCCACCTAGGCATGTAGTGCTAATGTCCAGGGGCTTTGTTTAGGGCTTTGTCTTTCTGTGTCCCTGATTTCACTCAATATACAGAACACACAATACATACGAGGATCAGTCTTCTACATCAAGGTTGGAAACCAGACATATACAGTTGCATGCTGTGTTAAGTCTGGAGCATGGAGGAGGAGTGGCAGCAACTAGTCTGAGGCAGGAGGTGGGAGGAGCAGGACTAGATTTCAATTCTGCTGCTTGAAGCAGCCACATGTCTCCTGGTCATCTTTCTTCCTGTGTTAAATGATCTGCAATGGTTTTCACTCTATAATTGTGTTAGTTTGTGAAGCGCGCACAATTCCTATACTAACCAACACAACATAATAGCAGAAGAGCTGGCCTCAGAAAATCCCCAAATTGCTATTTATCATCCATATAACCCCTAGCAAGTTAATTAACCTCATCTGTATCACTTTCCTTAACTATAAAATAAGAATAATAAAAATAGAACTTTTCTTGGATGGTTTAACTGAGGATTAATTTATAAAGTAAGAATTTGCTGAGTGGTTCCTGCCACATAGGTACACAATCAATGCACCTGTATTTTAGTTATCGGTCTAACTAACTTGATACCAAAATATCAAGACAAAGACCAATAACAATGGGTTCTTAACCCTCAATGGAGAGGTCACCTGCATTTTTACATTCATTTGTATTCTGACCTTTACTATGCTTGGGCCATCTTTCAGATGCATAGTGCCCAAAATAAAGCATTTTCTAAGACAACTGGTCATAAATTCATAGGAGTCAGTAACAAACTCAATTATAACTGCTTATATATTACTTCCATCTATACAGATACTTAAATATAAGAATCTTAAGTTTATCACAGCATATAATTTCCCTGTAACTTTCGTAACAGCAAGTACACATTCTCTACTGTTTTAGCTTCTACATGTGTAAATTTAAAATTTGTTTTTGCTAATTTTCATGACCATGTTTTAACAATTACTAAAGAGTCACATTGGTCTAAATAGTTTTCATTTTTTTTTCAAGTCTGAAATCCTCAGCCTCATTGCCAAGTCTACAGCACTTCAGATGAATTTAAAGTAAGAGTTCTGATGAGGGAGATTCAAGATGCCATTCTGCACCAACTCATGTGATACCCACTTCCTTGGCTGCTGAAACTTTATATATATATAAGCTATATATATATATGAATTTATTTATTTTTTTATAAATTACAGTTTATTCACTTTGTATCCCAGCTGTAGCCCCTCCCCTACCCCTCTCAATCCCACCCTTCCTCCCTCATCTCCTCCCATTCCCTTCTCCAAGTCCACTAATAGGGGAGGTCCTCCTCTCCCCCCATCTGACCCTAGCCTATCAAATCTCATCAGGACTGGCTTCATTGTCTTCCTCTGCGGCCTGGCAAGGCTGCTCCCCTATTAGGGGGAGGTGATCAAAGAGCCAGCCACTGAGTTTATGTCAGAGACAGTCCCTGTTCCCATTACTATGAAACCCACTATGACATTGAGCTGCCAGGGTCCATATCTGTGCAGGGGTTCTAGGTTATCTCCATGCATGGTCCTTGGTTGAAGTATCAGTCTCAGAAAGATCCCTGTGCCCAGATTTTTTTTGTTCTGTTGCTCTCCTTATGGAGCTCCTGTCTCCTCCAGGTCTTCCTATCTCCCCCTTCTTTCACAAGATTCCCTGCACTCTGCCCAAAGGTCGGCTAAGAGTCTCTTTGATACCTTGCTGGGTACAGCCTTTCAAAGGCCCTCTGTCGTAGGCTCTTGTCCTGTTCCCTGTTTTCTCCCTCTTCTGGTGCCCATCCCATTTGCCTTTCTGAGTGAGGATTGAGCATCTTAGCCAGAGTCCTCCCTCTTGCTTAGCTTCTTTAGGTGAACAAAATTTATTGTGTTTATCCTATATCATATGTCTATTATCCACTTATAAGTGAGTATATACCATGTGTGTCTTTCTGCTTCTGGGATACCTCACTCAGGATGATCTTTTCTAGTTCCCACCATTTGCCTGCAAATTTCATGATTTCCTTGTTTTTCATTGCTGAGGAGTATTCCATTGTGTAAATGTACAATTTCTGTATCCATTCCTCAGTTGAGGGACATCTGGGTTGTTTCCAGGTTCTGGCTATTACAAATAAAGCTGGTATGAATGTGGTTGAGCAAAAATGTCCTTGTTGTGTATTTGAGCATATTTTGGGTATGTGCCTAGGAGTGGTATAGCTGGACCTTAAGGAAGCGCTGTGGTGTTGGTCTAACTGGATGCCTACATGTAGAAAAATGCAAATAGATCCATATTTATCACCCTGCACAAAATTAAAGCGCAAGTGGGTAAAAGACCTCAACATAAAAAACACACACTAAACCTGTTAGAAGAAAAAGTGGGGAAGAGCCTTGAACACATTGGCACAGGAGACAACTTCCTGAACAGAACACCAACAGCACAGGCTCTAAGATCAACAATCAATAAATGGGACCTTATGAAACTGAAACGCTTATGTAAAGCAAAGGACACTGTCATCAGAACGACAAATTACAGACTGGGAAAGGATCTTCACCAATCCTATATCTGACAGAGGGCTAATATCCAGAATATATAAAGAACTCAAGAAGTTAAACACCAACAAATCAAATAATCCAATTAAAAACTGGGGTACAGAGCTAAACAGAGAATTCTCAACAGAGGAATATTGAATGGCAGAGAAACACTTAAAGAAATGCTCAACATCCTTAGTCATCGGGGAAATGCAAATCAAAACGACCCTGAGATTTCACCTTACACCCATCAGAATGGCCAAGATAAAAAACTAAAGTGATAACACATGCTGGAGAGGATGTGGAGAAAGGGGAACCCTCTTCCATTGCTGGTGGGAACGTAAACTTGTACAACCACTCTGGAAATCAATCTGTGGCTTTCTCAGACAATTAGAAATGATGACAGCTTTTAAAGTCACCTCTGTGAATGTCCAAATGATAGTTTGGAAAACTACTTGTCAAGCAACTGCTAACGAAATTTATGTATTATTCATTCAGTCAACATTTTTTTTTAATTTATTTACTTGTTTGGCCCAACGGAATTTATTGCCATGTGAAATACTCAGAAGTTTTATTATGTATTTCTCTCCTAATTTAATTTTCTTAAATTGGTCCATTTCTCCTTACATTACTGATGAACACTGATTCTTTTTCATTTATAGAAACACGTTCCTCAGAATGTATTAAGATTAACATGTAAGATTTAGTATATATTTAATTCAGATGGGAACCAGTGAGATTGGTTGCAGCAGCCAAGAAGAACCCGGTTCTATGTACCACAAATCTGTGCTAATGGCTAAAAACATGTCACTGAGAATAAGGACTCCTTTTTACATACTCTGCAGTAATTAGGAGCACAAATGGGTCAATTTGGATTTATCACCTTTCATATCAGTTGGTTTGATATGTCCAAGAATTTATATAAAGTAAGTTTTACTTACAGGGTTTGACTTCATCTCCATGAGGTTGTCCAGAATTCGAGTAACGGGTAGATTCTGTGAAAGACGTTAGAATTTTGTTCAATACTGGAGGAAACCCTTGCTCACCCTATAAGCATGCTGGCCTTTCAGTAAGTACCCGCTAAGTCTGTGTGCACACTTAGCGTGCCTGATGTCAGCAACCTCAGCACCCAAGTTCCCCATGAGTGCACAGCTCTGTGTGAAAGCTTCTTCCAATCTTCTGACCTCCACATACATGCTGCGCAGTCACGCCAATACTCCAACACATACACAATAATAAGTAAGATAAATTCAAAACAACTTCTGGGGCAAGGGAACACTACAAAGCTGAAGACTTTGTTTCCTTCTTGCTTTACACCCAACTGTCACTCTCCTTTCTGAGTTTTAATGCATAGCCTGAGCTGTACAGTACAGAAAGAATATGGGAAAAAGTATAACAATCAGGAGCCAACTTTTTGCTCTGAAAATCCATAGAAATTTAGGCATTTAAGCTGTATTTTATGATGAATCTTTAAGTACCATACCAGATTCTCAAACTGGTATAATTATATCTTATTCTGCATTTGATAGCTGACATGTCTGCTATGACAACATGTCTGCTAACGATGTGACAACTTGAGAAAACTGTCTTCCTAGGCAAAATTACAAATAATTCCTTCTTACATTTTCCATGGTCTAGCTGGGCGTGGTGGCACATGCCTTTAATCCCAGTGCTGGGGAGGCAGAGGCAGGAAGATCTCTGTGAGGCCAGCCTGGTCTACAGAGAGTGGTCCCAGGACAGTCAGGGTTGTTACACAGAGAAACCCTGCCTCAAAAAACAAACAAAAAACTGAGCAAAAGATTTCCCATGGTCTCTACAAACTGATGAAAAGAATCTACTACCTCTGCTTTATCAGTCAGTGTTTATAAATCGCCATATGACGAAGAGAAACCTTCAGCTATAGAGAATGAGGAAGGAAACATCTTCAAAGACAGAAGTCACAGTGCTTATGAAAACAATGGATATCTGTCACCAACTGACACTCTACCAAGGTGGTGTTTGTGTAAGTAAAAGTTTAATAACTGTAAAGAGCAGTCAGGTGTCTTGGCTCATCCCTGTAATCCCAGCACTCTGTAGGTGAAGCCAGGACTGCCATGAGTTAGTGGCCAGCTCACATTGTGTGAGCCCTGTCTCAATAAGCAAAGGGGGAAAAATTAATTGCACACCGAGTCTCATCATACAAGGTTAAGTCAACTCTGTTTTTGTTTTCCCTCTGTTGCTGGGATAAACACTGATATTATGAAGTGACTTTCCTTTTCAATAACAGTGTATTAATGGCAATAAAAATCAACAAAATAGGGTTATGGGTCCACACCTATCTTTCCACACCCAGTTTTACTAGGGAGCTGCAAACTCATGCAAATCTGCTTTCATCCACTCTCTACAATCCTAAAGTGTTAAAACAAGCCCTTTGCATAGTCATTGTCGGGCAGAACACAAATCTTTCAGTGTATTTGCCAAATGTAACTGGACTTTAGAAGGAAACCTATCAACTCCATACCTCCTCTCCTGCTCACTTTACTGAAGTGTGCTGACATTTAGACTGCACAGTGCAGTACTATGACATCTACGTATACCGCGGAACAGTTATTATTCAGTATTTACAGTTCAACTTTTCTGATGCATGGAATTTTTAATTTTCTTACAAATAACAGTCTTGAACAGAGGTCATACATTGCAATCAGGTTTGTCTCTCTAACCTGTTTAATTGGTGTATTTCTATTGCTTATAACTTATTTACTGCCAATTCATTTTTGAGAGACAATTATTTTGGTGGATAAGCCAAAGACAGTGGAGATTTCTAAATCATGCAACTTCGCACCTCCAGCACCATCACATTCCTGTATCCTCACACAAACCTCTTCACTCTGTGATTATCGCTCAACTGGCTGTGTGAGGCTTGATATTGAGAATGCACAAAACTCATGTTGCCCAGAAAACAAAATACAAAAAACTATTATTAGTGACCTAGAAAACTGAACATCATTAATTCTACTTTTTAAAAATTTACTAGCTAATTTAACTCTTGTCTAATTTATTTATTTATAACTTACAATGTTTATGCTGATAAAAACAACTCAAAACAATCTTTACAGTGCTGATGAAAAGGCTCAAGAAGGAAAAGGTGCTTCATGACCTGAGTTCCACTCTTGGAATATAGAAAAAAGGGGAGAGAACCAGCTCCATATACGCCTCCATAATGAAATTGAAATCCTTTATGGATGCAAGCAGCATAAGCTACAGCATGTTTGTATCCACACAGTCTTCCTTGATGCCTACTACTTCTTGAGTTCCCCTAGGACCTCACAGTGCAAGTGCCCCTAGATAAGCGGGTATCAGGACAGTGCATTGTCACAAAGGGCTTCTATGAGTTTAACCTGGATTTCTAAAACAGACCTTACTTACGAATAATGTGGCAATATTTATTAGGAGTAACTACAAATGTCTACACCCTTTGATTCTTAAGTAAATTCTTAATTCTGGGAATTTACAATGTGGGGTGAAGCAACCCGAGATGAATACCCATCCAGAAGAAAACTAACACTTTCCCACACCGCCCTTGTTAACACTATGGTTCTGGCAGTGGCAGGTGTGTTATATGAATAGGAGTAACCATAGACAAATTCAGTTTTTACTTTTTTTCTTTCTTTCTTTGTTTTTTCAAGGTAAGGTTTCTCTGTATAGCCTTCACAGTTCTGGGCTGGTCTCGAACTCAGATCCCCTGCCTCTGGTCCCCAAGTGCACCACCACCTTTGGGCTCAATTTTTGCTTTTAAAAGTAATTGTCTATGTCAAAACAGATTTCTTAACAGTTTAAAATGTTGTAAGAAGGAAAGTAATTTTAGGTCATAAAATAAATTTTTGTGTTGCCATAATAAAATACTTACTAGCAAACCAATTTAGACTCTCTTATATATTATTTTTAGGTACTGCAGGGCAGTACTGTGAACTAGTTAAAAAAAGCAGACTGAAGGATAGGTGTTGACAATGAAGGATTTCCTTTATTGAGGCAGAAGAGTATTCCCAAGTACTCAGGAAACAATGCCATTATCTGAAAAGAAAGCTTGGAAGGCCTTTTAATCAACAAAGCAAATGAAAATTTCTCACTATTCTTTATTAACAACACTTGTTCATTTGTTATTTATTCCTTCAAATAAAAAATTTGAAAGTTTTTTGAAACTAGAAACCTACTTTATGCAAAGTGCCATGGGATTTGTAAAATATACATAATGATTATACATAAAAATACCAAAAGAAAACAAAAGGAAGCTTTGTGGAGGAAGTTCAGAGAAAGAGAAAATTCTGAAAAGAGGTATCTATACATCTGACAACCAGACTAAAACCTCTTCTAAGCAGCACTGATGCAAACCCTGCACTGGTATTGATGTGGGACTATCTGCATCTTGGTACTGATGTGAAACAGTGCATCTTAGATTTACCAAAGATGTCCCAGTTATAATAATAATAAAAGACAAGAGATAAACACAAAAATGAGAAGACATCAAACACTGAAGAGTTAAGTAAAGCCAGTAAAGTTCAAATAAGCAAATCTTAAAAAAGAGTATAAAGTCATAGAATTCTAAAGTACATACAAAAAAGTAATCTCATTTTCCTACCATGCCAATAAAGACCCCTTGGTTCTAATTTTTCCCTCTTATTTCTTACCTGAACAAATCCAGAAATTTCTCTGCTTGGACAGTGAACTATCAACATTTACATTTCAAAGTTAGCAGAACGTTTCTGACAAGTGGACGCACCTGCTGCTTCAATACCAGGTTCTTCACGCCTTCCATCACAAACTGTGACCCTGTATTCATGACTCGGGATAAGAGACTGGGCAGGGGCAAAAGGTAAAGGAAGAGATGGATTAAATACAGATTGCTGCACAGTCTGCTGCTGACACAACGTTTGCCGATTACACACCACAGGATCTTGACCATGCCACCACCTTCCACCAACAGAAGGGCTGTGAGCATTTCTGCTTCCATGGACATCACTGCTGCATGGACATCACTTAATAAAAGTGATAATCACTAACAACGATATAAAGAGATGCCCTCTATATAAACAACAATTGCGTAGCCTTACCCATAGTTTCTTTCTGACTGCAAAAATAATCAGATGAAAAATAGCAATTCAGACTTTGCTTGTGGAGTTCCATCACATATATCACTATATTGCCTATCGATATTACAGGTCAAGATTGTGCTCTCACAACAGCTGGATCTCATTATGTCATGTGTACCATCTCCCCTCCACACACAGAAAACCTACCATGTAAACATGTTAAGCACCATAAACAGTGAGTGTTGCCTCAGTTGAGAACTTCTAACATGCACAAAGGATGCCAATAATTTTAGGTTTATAGTTCTGCTTCAAAGTCTCATACACCAAACAAAGGACACTTTGCAAGAGGAGAGCCATTATTCACTACATAAGAAAGCTAAGCACTGTTTTTAATTTAGCCAATATTTTCATACAGCACGTTTATTAATATCCTCAAGTATAAAACACGTAAGGAGACTTAGGCTCTATCTGTTTTATATGATGTAAAAGCACAACACTGGGATATTTATTTATAAAATCATAGGAATTATTTTCCTTTCTCTTATGCTGTCCTTTCTCCCCTGAGCAATTAAGAGGGGCAGAATGGAAATGTTTGATGGGCTGTGGGCTCTGAAACCGTTCCTTATGCCAGGCAACTGTGAATGGGGTGGCATGGTTCAGGGCCACCTATATAGCATCCTCTGGAGGGGAGGCCAGCTGGACCCTTGAAACATACTTTCTTTCTAGCTTTCAAAATTAAGTTAGGAAATTAGAAATGTGTAGGATAGAGAAAAGAGTAGCTAGATTTGTCTTGTTCTGCAAATTGGAAACCTCATAGACACTACAGCAGTCTCTAGAACAGCGGTTCTCAACCTTCCTAACTGTGACCCTTTCATACAGTTCCCCATGCTGTGGTGACCCCAAACCATAAAGTTATTTTCGTTGCTACTTCATAACTGCAATCCACTACTGTTATGAATTGTAATGTAAATAGTTGATATACAGGATATCTGACAGGCAGGCGCTGTGAAAGGATCACTTGACCTCCAAAGGGGCCGGCACTCCCCAGTTAAGAACCTGTGGGCTCCCTTGCGACTCTAGAGGGAAGTGTCTTTCCTAGCCCTGAAGACTGGATTTGTTAGGTCTTGAGTAGCTTTAAAAATCTATGTTATATCTATCAGGAGCAATACAAAATAGTTTTAAGCACAGAATTCTAAAGACCAAAGGCTCATAATTTGTGAAAGATATTTCCTTACATTTAAAAAGAATAAGTAAAATTACCCTAGAAAGCCAGAAAAATGGTGACATTCTGTATTAAAATGAAATTATGGAAGGTGTCAGATATTACGTTTTTAAGACATGAACCTTTAAAGTTTGAAGTACAGAGATTCAATCAACATTACTAAAATACTTACCCCATTGGTTTAGTGGTAGTGTTTCCATAGCTGGCAGGAGTTGAGGCCATCTTGGCAAAAGCCCTATGAAATAAGAAGGTTTATATTTACAAGTGGACAGTTATCATCCTGTATCTTGGCATTAAAAAATATACTGGTTAACTTCAAAGAAGCGGACACTTCTTTAAATGATTAATTTTTCTTCCACTAATTACATCACAGCTAGCATCAAAACCTGAGATTCCCTGATCTGCACCAATGCAGGGCTAGGCACAGCTCAGCTGCAGGTCAAGGCAGGAACAAGCGGGACTGGAACTGCAGCCCTGATGGGAGGGCTCTCCTCTTCCCGGATGATGATGAACAAGACCTAGGCGGACACCCATTCACACAGGAGAATGAGCATGAGCCCACTGAGCCCAGCTCACTGCTGTGCACAGCACATCCACCCTTGCTCCCCAACAGACCTTTGCGCAAGCTGTCTTCTGGGGACTTCAGACTCACCACCCTCTAACACAAGAAGAAAAGTCACATTTCCTCGAAGGACTCAGTTCAGGGCCGCTTCCTTTATCATTAGTCTTTTAGGTTGCTACCCAGTGATTTTTTTTCCCTTTGGTTACATTACAAACCATATGGTTTTATGGTAACTGCACATGATCAGATATTTTCAGCTTTTTCTAAAAGTTTAGAATCTCTTTAAACTATGATTACTAGAAATTGGGGGGGGGGTGGAGATAGCACTTTGATGAGTTTTTAAAAATACCTTCATCCCAAGAATATATTTACATTTCTCTCCACAATTTAGGAATACAGACTGTTCCCAGAAAGCTCAGTCCTCTTAGGTAATCAACTGCCAGGATGCTGATGTATGTTCTTCCCATTAAGGATGTGTATATAAAATGCAGCACAGATGACTAAAATGAGTCAGCAGCTTTCTGTAATCCTGGTCTGTGACACACTATTAGCATGCCACAGACATTATGCCAACCATATTATATTCATGACTTTTAGTCACTTCATATAACTAAAGGGGGATGGGCAGATATGCAAAGGATGCTTTATGAGAGTGAAAAAAATCAGTAACAATGTACAAGTTAAAATGCTAAAAATATTTATCTCTGTCCTGACAAAATCTAAAAGTATCAGGAGAGAAATCCCAGAGTAAATGCGAAACTTTGTCTTGTTCACAAATGAGGCTATAAACAAAGTATTATTTACACCAGGGGACTGACCTAATTGCTTTTCCTAGAACTTATTTTTCTACTAGAAACTATAAACAACTAAGGAGTAGATGAAAGTAGCTCTGGACGGCTGAGTATTGTGGCGAAGTCAGCCTAGCTGAGACCCCACAGATGACAGACTACTGTAATAGTGGGATCAGAGAACAAAACACTGCAGTCCTGACAAGTGGGAGATTTATAGCCACATCAACTCACTCTCTAGATAGTGAGATTATGTAGCCCAGGCTGGCCACATACTTGAGATCTGCCTCAGTCTCTTGAGTTCTGGGATTACAGGCTATGCTATGATTACTGGAACAAATAAAATGTTCCTTTTTCTTAAAAAAAAAAAAATTACTGTTTTGTGCTCATGTATGCTATAATGAATATGCAGTGGTCAAAGAACAACTTTGTGGAGCCAGTTCTCCTTTTCTACCTTTACGTGGATTTTGGGAATTGAACTCAATCACCAGGCTCAAATTACAGTGCCTTTACATGCTGAGCCATCTTGCTGGCCCCATTTTTTTTTTTTTTTTTTGAGACAGGGTTTCTCTGTGTAATGGCCATGGCTGTCCTGGAACTCACTTTGTGAACAGGCTGACATCAAACTCACAGAGATCCACCTGCCTCTGCCTCCCAAATGTTGGGATTAAAGGTGTGTGCCACCAGTGCCAGGCAAAATTTACCTTCTATTTATCTTCTTCAATTTCCTAAAATTATCTTTATTAAGCTAACATTTTCCAATTGGGAAGGTAAAAAGTGTTACAAGTTAGATGAAACATATTTTAACTGCATGAAATGTTGTAGGTGTCTTTCTCAGAGTGATCCCAAACACTGATTTGTAACTCCACATGTATTACAACAACAACAATGACACGTTGCCACACAACCAACCATACTGGTCTGTGTGTGCTTTTTCATATTACAAACACGTGGTCAAACACAAGAAAAATGTAAAATGTCACCGGAAGCATGGGTACTAAGAAGCATTCCCCGTCACCCTCTAGAACCGGTTAAAAACCTGGCGCTTCTCCTTTGCTAGGCACATTTCTTACAATGGCGACTAGAAAGCAGAGTTAATAATCTTAGTGTCTGAAACTGATGCAAAAAGCGTTTCAAAGGAAAACACCTGCATGTAGAGTTACACTCAGGTACGTGCATTTTGGCTACACAACCAAATGTATGTATGTGCACTTACAGGTGGATCATACTATAACTTGCCATCCTAATTATGGCTCAAATGTCATCTACCCAGAAGTGTTCCCTGCTACGCAAATCTAGCCATTGGCTAAGATCTTATCACTCAATTTTACTGTCTCTGAATCATTCAGTGTAGCTGACCATCATTCGTTCATTTGTTTATTAACTGTTTCTTCAGCATGCATAAATTCATAGTGCAGGTCATCATGCTCCCGATTAGGAAACAGAGATAGCATCCTTTGGCATTCAAAAGGGTTTGGTTCCAGGATCCTCACAATTATGAAAATCTTTCATGCTCAAGTCCCTGTGTAAAATCTGTAGTACTCCCACACAACCTCTGATATCGTCTCCTACAATATAAACCATTTCTAAGTTATGTATGTTACGTAATATAGTACAAAGGCCATGCAAATAACTCTTACACGTTACTGTTCAGGGAATAATATTAAGGAGAAAACAGAAAGCAAACATCAAGTTTAGCAGTTTTTTCTCCCCAGAATGTTTTCAGCCCACAAATGCTGAACTGGCAGGTATGGAGAGCTGAGATCATTTATCAAATTAATCAACAAATAGTGTTGGAGGCAACTTTCCCCTTCTTAACACAGTAACATGAATGTTTCCAATGCCACTAAGTCTTCTGTTATGATATTTAATCATCCAGTTGGATTCTATCTTATAAACATACTACAACTTTAGGAAGGCTGGAGAGACAGGCAAGGTCTTGCTATGCAGCCCAAGCTGCTTCTGACCTTGTGACAGACCCTTCCACCTCAGCCTCTCAAGGGCTGGGATTACAGGAGTGTGCTGCTGTGCAGAGTAAAGTACCACCATTTATTTGTCCAGTTCACTGCTGGACCCTTAGGCTGCTATGGTTTTATGGTTCTAGTAACTTCTTTGGCTGAATCTTTACAAGCAGTAGGAGGTCAAAACCTTTTATGGCATTCTGGAAAGTCATCAAAATTTACATTTCTACTAGCGGACCATAAATCACCAATGAATTTTGCCATTTCCTTGGCAAAATGTTTTTTTTTAATTTAGCATTGTTCTTGCTAGTTAATAATTCTGAGACATTTGATCCAGAGGATTTCAGTCTGACTTTCTAATGCATCAGCAAATAAAATATGGTGTTTGTCCCAGGATAAAATCTGTCACTATTTTTTGTAGCTTTACGTTGTGCAAAGGTGGACGAGACAAGGAAATGCTATGCACTGGATATAAAAATTCACTATGACACTGTCCAGCCTTCTTATCAGCATTCGGATTTTTTTTAGGAATAAACTCTGAATTCTGGCCTTATCTTAAATAACAAGAAAGTAGAAAGAAACTGAAACTTACTTCCACTGTTTGATATACTGTAAAGGGCTAAGGTTGCATCCTGCATCTGTTAAAGCCTTTTTATACTGCTCCAAATCAGCCTGCAATAAGAAAAGAATGTTGCGAAAACAAATCACACTTGACTGAGGATGGTGTCTGACCTTATTAGACTAATCAAGATTATAACACAAAGGCATGAGTATAAATGCCAGGCACCGCAGTAGGTGGAGTTGTACCTTAAGGGACTAACCAAGTGGGACAGGAACCACAGGCGATGAGAAGGTAGCCCTAGAAGTGGAAAGCATGCTGTTTTGTCTTCCTTCAGGAATTTCATCAGTTTTCTTCTCCCTGCTAGAATGACTGCCTTTCTTCAGGGTAAGCCCTCAACAAGTGAGTCAGCTTGGCCAAAAATATTTCAAAGCTAGAAAGACTGAGGAGCAACACAGGGTGAGAGGCCTGTGGCTCAGGCTTCTTTTCTCATTTACACTGCAGGGCTCAGTTACTTGTGGAACAGTTTTCCTCTCATTTTAAAACTGTTTTCTCTTTCTTCCTGTTCTTTATCTCCTGATGAGTAAGTGTAATTTGTGCAAGTTAAAGGAGCCTAGCACCATAGTGGTTCTGCTATAAAAAGGAAGAGAAAAAATGTGTAGTGTGTTCTTGCGGCTGAGTATGGAGATCAGAACCTGAAATCAGGTGCTTCGTCAATTACTCTAACTTTTTTTGAACCTGGAGGCCATGGTGTCAGCTTAACTGGCTGTCCAGCAAGACCCACACAGGGATCCTCCTGCTTCCACATCTCCAGTGTTGGAATTATAGGAGCACAGCTGGCTTTTTTTTTTAGACACACAGATGCTAGGGATCAGATTCAGGCCCTCATGCTCACATGACAAGCAAGCACTTGATGAACCAGGCCATCTCCCCAGGCATGTCTAGGGAAAATTCTTAAGCCTACCATCAACCAGATATTTTAACAACTTCTTAGTTTCAGGATGATTAAGCTGATATTGGCAATCATGATTTAAGCCTTTTAATGATCACTAAGGCTTATGGAAAAATGTTTACTTAAAATAAGGTACTTCAATTAATGCAGTATAAAGTTTTAAAATAATATATTCAGGTTTTTTGTTTTATTTTTTGTTTTTTGAAACAGGGCTTTTCTGAACAATACCCCTGGCTGTCCTACAACTCTCTTTGTAGACGAGGCTGGCCTTGAACTCACAGAGATCCACCTGCCTCTGCCTCCCAAGTGCTGGGATTAAAGGCCACTATGTGCCACTATGCTCAGCAAAAGAATATATTCTCAAAATATTATAAACAGAACATTAGAGTCTAAGAAACAGGTAGACCCTCACTGATGAGAAAGCTTTTCTAGAAAAGAACCACACTCTTTTATTAAGTAAATTAGGAGAAAAGATAAGTGAAGAATATACTCCACAGCAGAGTAAAAGGTCCTAAGTGAATTCTGACTTAACGGGTAATAATTCTGACCAGTGGGAGCTTTACAACTTACCAAATAACAACAACAAAGCTGGCATTAATAACTATCTCTTAGTGGCACCTTGGAGGCTCTTAATGCTTGCTGCTTATTATGTAAAGTGACACTTGGTTATTGAAGGAAGCCCATGGTCTCCAATCCACTTTGCTTATACAACAGCATACAGCACAGGGCATGCTCTGTAACAGTCACTAGTTTTAAAGCAGTTTTAAAAGGTTTAGACCAATTTTCTGAAAAGTCCAGCAAACTGTGCTAACTTAGTTTAGGACAGTTAATTTTCAGAGGTAAGAATTTTGACCACCTGAAGTCAGTTTGTAGTTCAACATCTTAAAAGTGGTCAAGCATAACTCAAGTGACAACACATGCTAGAGAGATTGTGGAGAAAGGGGAACCCTCCTCCATTGCTGGTGGGAATGTAAACTTATACAACCACTTTGGAAATCAATCTGATGCTATCTCAGACAATTAGGAATAGCACTTCCTCACGATCCAGCTATACCACTCCTAGGCATATATCTAAAAGACGCTCAAGTATACAATAAGGACATTTTGCTCAACCATGTTTGTAGCAGCTTTATTTGTAATAGCTAGAAGCTGGAAACAGCCCAGATGCCCCTCAGTTGAAAAACAGATATAGAAATTGTGGTACATCTACACAATGGAATATTACTCAGTGATAAAAAAAAAAAACAAGGAAATCATGAAATTTGCAGGTAAATGATGGGAACTGGAAAAGATCATCCTGAGTGAGGTATCCCAGAAGCAGAAAGACACACAGGATATATACTCACTCATAAGTGGATATTAGACCTATAATATAGGATAAACATACCAAAATCTGTACACCTAAGGAAGCTAATCAGGAAAGAGGATTCTGGCTAAGGTGCTCAATCTCCGGATGGACATCGAAGGAGGGAGAAAAAAGGGATTAGGACAAGAGCCTACCACAGAGGGCCTTTGAAAGGCTCTACTCTACAGGGTAGCCAGGCAGATGCTGAGACTCATAGCCAAACTTTGGGCAGAGTGCAGGGAATCTTACGAAAGAAGGGGGAGATAGTAAGACCTGGAGAGGACAGGCGCTCCACAAGGAGAGCAACAGATCCAAAAAGTCTGGGCACAGGAGTCTTTTCTGAAACTGATACTCCAGCCAAGGACCATTCATGGAGATAACCTAGAACCCCTGCACAGATGTAACCTATGGCAGTTCAGTGTACCAGTAGGTTCCATAGTAATGGGGATAGGGACTGTCTCTCACAGGAACTGATTGGCCTGTATTTGATCACCTCCCCCTGAGGGGGGGAGTAGCCTTACCAGGCCACAGAGGAAGACAATGCAGCCACTCCTGATAAGACCTGACAAACTAGGATCAGATGGAAGGAGAGGAGGACCTCCCTTATCAGTGGACTGGGAGAGGGACGGGGTGGAGAAGAAGGGTGAGATTGGGAGGGAGGGAGGTACAGGGAGGATACAAAGTGAATAAACTGTAATTAATAAAAATAAAAATCATAAAAAAATGAAAAAGCAAAACTTTAAAGGAAAAAAAGTGGTTTAGCACTTTCTAAGTGGTGACAAAAATACCGGTATAAAACTCTGCAGTTAACAGATCTGCCTTAGCAAACTTTTTTTTTTACTTGTTTTTTAATAGATGAAATATCACATACTTAGTGATCTTTTGTTTCTAGTTTTGAAATTCTAACTGGAAAATGCAAATAAGCATCCCTCCTCCAAGAGTGAACATACCTCAGAAGGTGCTTGCTGCGTGCTTATGTAATAGATAAGAAACAGCCTCATTTTATCTTCCGGAGTTCCTGCTACATGGGAAGGGGAATGAAAAAAAGACTCTCATAATTGTGATTACTGAGCATTATAATTAAAACTTAGAACTTTAAAATTCAAGGCATGTATAAATACAACAAAACAACATGTGGTTCTTATTCAACTGAGTTGAAGTAGGAAGTACTGAAATCAGAATCATGTGAAAAAGAAGACAGAAGGTGGAGTTGGAGGAGTGACTATAGAAACACCTCAATTGTCTCCCAAACTGCTCAGAAGCCTATACTTGTCCTCAGGCATAAACTAAAACATGTGAAGAACACATGCAGGCAGAGCAAGCATACACTCTAAGCGCATCTTTTCCCATGGCAAGCGTGCAGGCCACATCAGGCCTGGCGGACACAGGACTATCCTGAGTCAGAGGCACCGCCACCCAGCGTCAGTTCCAGGATCTGCTGTCTCAATGAAATCACTGAGCTCAGCCAAAGGTCTTATTTCCTAAACTAAGTTCCTAAACCCAACTGTCCTCTCTGAAGAGTTTTCTCTTATTACAAGGCTGGTGAAAACCATACTTTTATTTTAAAACATAAAACGGAGTATATTTACCTCAAATTTTAAGACAAAACTATGGTTTCAAAACAATTCCCTACTACCCTGGGAGTCTTTCAAGTAATTACTTAATATAACTCAAGGCCAAGACTTTCCAGAGGGCACTTTGGTAGAAAAGTGATAAAGAAGTGGCCTTAATAACCTATCAAATCTCACTCCAATGTGTGCCCTAGGATATAAAAACTTAAAACGATTGTACTTCATCATAGAATAAAAACTAAGACTGCTCATAATGGAATATGCCTGTACTCTCAGCTGTTGGAAGATCAGAGAAAGTAGGATTCCAAGTTCAAGGCCAGCCTGGGCTTCTGTCTTTTTGTTTTGTTTTTGTTGGTTGATTTTTTAGATAGAATCTCACTTTATATAGTCTATCCTGGTCTAGAACTTATCATGTAGCCCAGGCTGACCAACAAAAACAAAACAAAAAGACAGAAGCCCACCAGTACAAGACAATAGTAAAACTAGATTAAACCCAAAATGTGACACAATTGATGAAGCAGGGAGCTCATGGGTTTTAGAATCCAGATATTACTCAATTTACCGTTATTTATCAACATGAAAGAAGAGGAGCAGGTTCTGTCAAGTTCTTGGGTTTAGAACATTTTGGTATATTTCATTACTGATAGCATTAAATGAGATTACCTAATGAGGTATTTACTGTCATACTTTATTGTAAGGTTTTGTAACAAGTATTTGTTCGGAAGTACTGTTTCAGTATGGAATGTCCAAATAGGCTCCTGTACTGGGGCGCTATCTGCCAGATGACAGTCTTTGGGAAGTGATTGGTTCCTAAGGGTTCTGACCCAATAAACTCACAAAGTGGAAGGTGGGTCTCAATGGAGGAAGTAGCTCAATGGGGACATGCTGGATAAAGATGTACTGTTCCCCCTTATCTTCCAGCGTGGTGGCCAAGCAGTGGGCCATTTGCTCGACCACAAGTTCCTAGCCATGATGTTTAGTGTCTAGAACAGTGGAACCAGACAACTGTGGACCTCTGAAATCTTTCCTCTTTTAAAACTGCCTCAGGCATTTGTCACAGTGATGAAGTCTCATTAACAGATTATCTTACCTATTTGTCTATATGGAACCATGGCTTCCTTTTTATACTGTGGGCTCTAAACTATAATTTATTATTGTATTTTTATTTTGATGGTAAAATGGTCATGATTTGGAACCTCTTCACACTGACTTCTAGGTCTTTTGCCATGCTTCTTCTTTGTTGTTGTTATTTCTTTTCTGGCACAACAAACGCTCTAATGTCATTTTTTATACTTCCCCTCCTCGATCCTGCAATCAGCCCCTTCTGTACTGAGTTCTAGTAGAAAATGTCATTTGTTAGCCAGAATCTAATGGGGTACAACTGCTCCCAGACCCTTCCAACTGGCATGTGGCAGGGATCCCCACCCCATCTCCATCCCGCAAGAGGAGAGCAGGCACATCATGCAGCACAGAGCTGCCCAAGCACTCCATCGTGAACCACCTCCCCAGTGCAGTCTGTGAAGCAGCCACACTGTTTATAAAAGTGTATCCTGAACGTTTAAAGCACAATTCAGTTTTAGTTACTTTTTTTTTTTTTTTCATAATATTCTCTGGGGTAAACCAAAGTGAAGTAGAAAACAACTCTTAAAGATACTTGCTTGCAATGTCATTCATTCACATCTTCTGAACAGAGCAGAAATGGATGGCCACATATATCACATTAAAGAAATAAATATAAAGTATTTAAATATCCTACCAAAGAAAAATTAAAATAGAAATCAATTTTCCATTTTAAGAACTGCTATGTTGAAAAATTTCAGCAAAAAATAGCTCATTTAATTACTTTGTAGTTAGGACCGACAGTAATTCTACTTAAATTCTGTCTGGACTGCAAAGCTAGGTTCATCCTTGTAAATATTCTCAAGTTTATGGCACGTACCGTCAGGGTCAGATATGATGTCGAGGAGGGACTTATCCAGAGTAGTCTTGCTCATTATTTTTTCTTCATATTCAAAATACACATCCAGTTTTCTTGCCTGTTTCAAAATAAACAGATAGCATGTAATAAAAATACAGTGAAAGCCTCTTGCTAACAAATTTCTATTTTTTATAATCAAATTAATAAACAAATGCTTATTTAAATACAGTGTAGTTTCTGACTTTTATATTTTTGGTTGTGAGCCTCGCCTTTAAAGGCTGAGCCATCTCTCCAGCCCTAGTTTACGACTTTTGATTATACGCTCAGGGTGAAAACATTTCTGGTTGCTCTATCGGACACAGCAGACCGGTCTGAAGGGCCAGCAGAGTGGTTACAGGGTGACAGGAGGTCAGCATGCGCTTGCTTTTGCAGCATGTGGCTCCCACATTCCACCTTGACCAGAAGGAAAATGACCCTAATTATGTTACTTCTAGAGTTCTTTGCAAAAGCAAGACAATTTATTTCCTTATATTTATGGTTGTGAGCCTATCCTTTAATGGCTGAGCCATCTCTCCAGCCCAAGACCCCTTATTTTCATGTCTTTTTGTTGGCACTTTGTTTTCGAACTGAGTTTTGAAGTGATTTGGGGACACATAATCAGCTGCTTTCAGTTAGATCATATCAGGGCACCACAGAGGTATCTGAATAGTAAATAGGCCAAAGAATGGATTTCATGTGTGAGCAACAGTCTTTTGAACCCAATCCTGTACAGTGGAACACAGGCCATAGTTTTAAAGTCACAAAGTTAAATTAAAAACAGGACTGACAAAGCTAAAGGATCTGAGCCCAGGGGTCCTGCAGAGACTGATGTACCAACCGAGGACCATGCATGGAGAGAAAACTAGACCCTCTCCTCAGACTGGCCAATTGGCAGCTCAGTTTCCATGTGGATCTCTGAGTGAGAGGAGCAGAGCCTGCCTCTATCATGAACTCAGTTGACTATTCTTTGATCACTCGCCCCTGATGAGGTAGCCTTGCCAGGCCACGGAGGAAGAGAATCCAGACAGTCCTGATGAGACTTAACAAAGTCTCATGAGCAGATAACAAAGGAGAATTCCCCCTTTCAGTGGACTAGGGGGAGGGGACAAGGGGTAGTGGGTGGGAAGGTGGGACTGAGGTAGGGGGCTTCAATTGGGATATAAAATGAATAAATTGTGATTAAAATTAAAATAAAAAATGGGACTGGCAAGATGGCTTGTCAGGTAATGGTACTTCTGTCAAGCCTGGTGACTTAGGTTGATTCCTGGAGCCCACAAGTAGAGTTGATTTCTGACAACAGTCCTCTAACCTCCACATGTGCACTGTGGCATGTATGAATACACAACTATACGATGTCTGTGCAATAAAGAAGCAAATAAAAACAACACAGAAGTATATAGTGGGAAGGCCTGTCTCTTAACTATCTCTTTGCATTGCTCTTAAAAGAATTAATTTTCCCTTATTTTTCAGCTTACTGAATAAAACTAATCCTTTCTTCTTTACTCTTCTCAGAGACAAAGCATCATATTGTTAAAGTGAGATTTCTGGTATGGACTTTGTTTCTAGGAGACTATCAGCCTCATTAGTTGGCCATCTTGTTTCTAAAACACACACACACACACACACACACACACACACACACACACACACACA